AGAGTTTCTGGAATGTCCGGTTGGGGGCCTATTTATAGCACTGTAGGAGCACTCCCCATTCCTGAAAGCCAATAGCCTAATTGAATCGGAGCTAAGGTATGGGGAACGCCTGATTCTGGTGTTATCTACCTAGATTCCAGCACCAGAGCTTTGGGCGAGACCGGCGCCGGACCTGGTTGCTTCTTCTTCTTCTTCTTCGTCATCTCAGATTGGGCGCACGTTAGTAAATCTTAACGTAACATGCGCCGAGAGAGTAAATCTAGCTTCAATCCCATGTGTAGCTCTTTATTTCCTTTAACTACTTCAGCCATTGTAGGCTTGACTCCACTAGACGTGGCAGAGAAAGTCAATTTCCTCGCGCGCATTAGTAGCCCCTGCATTAGGCTCCGGTGGAGTTTCTGCAATGTCCGGTTGGGGGCCTGTTTATTGCACTGTAGGAGCACTCCCCATTCCTGGAAGCCAATAGCCTAATTGAATCGGAGCTAAGGTCTGGGGAACGCCTGATTCTGGTGTTATCTGCCTAGATTCCAGCACCAGAGCTTTGGGCGAGACCGGCGCCAGACCTGGTTGCTTCTTCTTCCTCGTCATCTCAGATTGGGCGCACGTTAGTAAATCTTAACGTAACATGCGCCGTGAGACATACTCATTTGAATTATTGCTTATTCCAAATGATAGTTATTTACCTCAAATGTGAACGAGGCTCCAATTCGCCTTGTTTATTCTTTATTAAATTAGCAAATACTTAGTATTATACATTTACTAATGTGACTTTTTATTAACTTGTCAATTGGCTTAATATTTTGATACTACATCTCTTTTAATAGATCATAAGTATATATTTTCATTTTCTGAAAATGTTTTTTTTATTCTTATGTTATACTATTCAAAATTCTTCAATTGTCTAAATTTATCAATAATTTTCTTGAGTGTTATTTATTTATTAATTATATAAAATTATCTTTATCCCCCGTACATTCTTTTCTACTTTAATATTTGATTAGTTTTCTCATTTTGTACTTTACTGAAAATTTAAATAATATAATTTTCTTACTAAATTATAATTTTTAATTCATCAAAAGTATAAAGAGATAAGACTTTTATTATTTTTATAAAAAACCTACTAACATTTATAATAATTAATAATTTGTGTTTTATATATAATATATTATCTTATATATAATATCCTAATAGTTTTTTTATATCTTTGTATTTTTCATTATGAAATTATGAGTTCAATTGATTAACTAAATTTTTTTACATGAGAAATTTAATTAGTATATATATATTTACGCTATCGCTTGAATTTTTTTATAGTATTCTTCATTTATGACTATTTATTTATTATGATTTTAGTTATGTGTATATGTACCACTTTTCTCATAATAATTCTAATAATAAGTCATTTTCCCATAAATATATATATATGTTATTTCTTTTTTATTCCTTGGCATCATAGAATTATTTACTTATCTTTTTATAAAGAGTAGATATACACACACACACACTACTATATTAGGAAGAAATTATTTTCCAATTTGAATTGGTAGTTTTTTATTTATTATTATTTTTATTTTTTATTTTAAAATTCCAACTTGAAACTATTCCCCAATTTGAATGAATAGTTTATTTTTTTTATAGATAATTATAAGATATCTACATTTATTAATTCAAGTAGAGTTACCAATTAATTCGAAATTTAAAATTCAAATAATTTTTAGTTAGAAAGATAATTTATTTTGTCTTAACAATACCACTTAGCTTTTTGTGATTACTAGTCTTACAGTACGCGCGTTGCGCGTGTAACCTATCTAAATGAGTATAAAACTTTTAAAAAATTATATAAATATTATTTTTGAATTAATAAAAACGTAAATTTATTTCAATAAAGAATATTGATTCTGTATAGCTAATTCAATAAGGAATATCAATTTATACCTTTCGCTCTCTATATTTTCTTTTAGCTCTTTTAACTACTACATTAAACTACTTATGAATAAATGTATATAATTTATTTTCATTAATTTCAATATACAAATTTATCTTATCTATGTTTTACTTTTCGAGTATTGTAATTGGATTTGTAATTTAATGTGTGTATAATATTTACAATATTTATTCAACTTATTCAAATAATTAACTTAAAGTACATTATAGTACTTATTACTTCAAATTAAAATACTACTATTATTTCAAAACGTAAGCATGTCGTATTAAACTTATTTATATATATTTTCATACTCGACCTAGTATGTTATAGGTTTGGTTTACATATTATTAGTAATCTTTAATTTTTGAAGACTTAATATTAGATCTATAATTTTATTAGTAGATTTCTAACACGTTTATACACATTTTGTCTAATGCACACAAGAAAATGTCATAATTACTTTACATAATTTATTTAAGGAAAGGATTTGTAAATTCCTAAAATTTAGGAGTTTCTGTATATGTATTCCGAATAAGGGAAGATTTAATGACCAAAATTTGATTGATTTTAAAGTCCTCAATATTAGTAGAATAATTATATTATAATTATAACTAATATAAAATCTATTTTTAAAAGGTAAAAAAGGCGAACGACATTTCACTAAGGGGCTTCATGCTAGGATATGCGCGATGCGTGTGTACCTTCTATCGATGCGTATAAAATTATAAAAAATATAAGCTCTTGAATATGACAAATATTGAGCCTACTAATTAGTAAAAAAAAGAGCGGATGTCCTATCTAAGCATGACAACAACCAAGATAATGTTGAAAGTTTAGTGTTACTTTGTATCTTGTTCTTTTATATTAATTTCGTATCAAAATAGTCATCTAGGTACCATGTATTCTAAGACAAGTTAACTACAAAGAGAAGAAAAATTAGCGACAGATAAATTATGTAGTTAATTAATAAAATTTATCGCTAATCCTACTTAGTGACAGAATCAGTTATATATTATAAAAATTCTATTAGCTACCAGATGAATTTACTAACTAATTCTTGTTTTGTAAAGTTAAATTATGTAACAAACTTTCTTAGTAATAATATTAGTTTTTGTTCCTTTTCCATCTATTTATTTTAACATATGCATTGAGGTAATTTAGGTATTTTTGTAAATTAAATTACGATAATTAATTTCTTATCACAAATTGATGATTACTATTTTTTTCAACAATAATTACTATTTAAAAACCTAATGTCATAGTAAATTTTAACGAATTTAACAACCAAACTTGTAAGAAAATACTTATGATTTAAAGTTTAGAAACAACAAATAAATCATATGAAAGGTAAATAAAGGTAAAATTGGTCTTTGTGATTAAACAAGGACAGAGAAAAAAATAAATACCACATAAAACGTGAAGTTTCCTTGTTGGAAACCAACAAAAATCTTTCCTCCTACTTCTTCTGTATTCTTTTATGTCTTAATATATTGTATCCTTATTAGGAGAAGATATCAAACACTAAATTATATTAGAATTTTTGTATTTAGAACTCCTAAATATAAGGAAAGTTTTTGATTTTACAATTTTATCCAATGTAAATATATTTTTAAAAGGTAAAAAAAAGCGAACGATATTTCGCTAAGGCCTTCGTGCTTTTAATATATATATATATATATATATATATATATATATATATATATATATATATATATATAACTTGTCTTATTACAGTGCTTCTGCATCTCCTATTGTATAGATTTTATTACCTCATAAAGTTTTATTCATTCTATCGTTTTTTATACCTAAAAGTATTGATTCCAACCGTAATCAGATGGAAACACATAGTGAGCCGGAAGATTTAAACTGGTTTGGGATTTGTGAGGAGAAAGTGGCGGCGACGGTGGGGGAGAGGGGAAGCTTCTAGACAATGGAGCAGAGGATTTGGTGGGGCCATGGGTGAGGGTTTCGTGCTGGACTGGCGGAGCGCGACGGGGTGCCGCAAGTGTGAGGACTCACACGGGCGGTATGGTTTCAACAATTCAACTCAGGATCTCTTGTGCTTTTGCCGAGATGGTACCATGAAGTTTGATCATTGCAAAGGTACGCCCATATATCTTCATTGTTTTCATTTGCTATTTATTTTTAATTCTAATAGAATGTTGCTGTTAAATTCTCGTATGTTGCTGCTTAAAATCTAGCTTGTGATGTAAATGGTAGAAATTCGTCTATTTTCTGACTGACTACTTTAAATTCAAAAGAATCAAAATACAACCTTGCCTTGCCTAGTTTCGTAGCAAGTCATTGGCTCATTGCATCTAAATTCTGATACCAGGTTTAACATTCCGCAAAGAGAGCTGAAAATGAACCCAGTAGGCTGTAGGCAGTGTATTTGAGATTTGGCTAGCTCAGCTGTAAGCCTATTTGTTTTAGTTCCAAAAATACGTAGAAATAAGTAGGAAATGTGTGACCTTTTGATACCTGTTGAAATTTCTTTTTTCTGTTATTTTGAATTATTCTTCTTCTTTAAGCTTCTGACAAGATAATTTTATTGGCTGTTTTAGATTCATTCATTGTGGAAAATAAGAAAGTCTTTTTACAGTCAGGGAGGAAATTTCAAGGTTATTCAATTGAAAGCTACCAATAAGCTGGTTGTAAATATTATATGCCTTTTTATTCCTTTGAAATCTCTCCGTCTAGGTGTGAACATTAACCTTATTTTCTCCAATCGTCTTAGTTGAAAAGTCAATTTTCTTTAGTAATCAGTAGAAAAGTCATCGAAACTAGCAGCTCTTCCGTTGTTGTCCATAATAAATTGGCAGGATGACATTTTTCGTTCGTCAAAACTGGATTATTTTTACGCTTAAATATTACTCCCTTCGGTTCACAATAAGTGTCCAATTTGCTTTTAGCACGCCCATTAAGAAAATACTAAATTCTATACAAGAATACCTACTATGACTAAACTACCCCTAATTAAACATTTAATGTGAGGAGTAAGAAAACTTTTTAGGGATATGTACATAGGGGTTATTTTGTAAAAACAAATTGAATTCTTTCTTGATTACATAACTGGACACTTATTTTGAACCAAAATGAAAAAGCAAATTGGACACTTATTGTGAACCGGAGGGAGTAATTTCAATTGAATATTTGAAATCATATACTTAGCAAAACTTTTCTAATACCTAGGTATTCTCCAGCCAACCTAGTCTCTCTTTGATGAGTTCTCACAAATGCATGCTCAAAACTTACTTCTTCCACTTCATCATCACCATCCTACTCTTCTTGATCACTTCCTCGACATCCTATGGCCAAGAAAATAAACAGTATACCACTTGCAGTAGCTCCTACAGCTGTGGGAATATTCAAAATATCGGCTTCCCTTTCTGGGGTGGCGATCGACCTCAAGAATGTGGTCTTCCACAATTCAAGCTTGAATGTGAAGCCAACCATGATCCCGTTATGAAGATCGACAATCATGATTTCCGTGTACTTGACATCAATGGAGAAAAGCAAACCATGAGAATTGCACGTAAAGATCTTGAAGAAGACATTTGTCCTGATAGATTTGGTAACACTACCTTGAATGATGGTCTTTTCCGCTATGGTCCGGACTTGCGAGTTTTCGTCATGTTCTATGCTTGTCCTTTTAATATACCTTCAGAATGGAAAAAGTTCTCCTTTAGCTGCAATATCAATGGAAACTCCAGTCTTGGTTTCTATCCAGATGAGTCATTTTCATCATTCTGGGGCCCAAAGTACCCGAATTGTGAGCATAAGATCATGGTTCCTGTTGTGGTGAAGGAATTTGAGCAGTTCCAGAACGAAGGAAGTACGAAGATATTGGAGCTATTGAAGCAAGGGTTTGATGTGGTTTACGACAGAAGCGCAGACTGTATAGCTTGTGAGAAGACAGGGGGATTATGTGGGTCAGTGACAAATCTTACAGAGCCAACGTGCCTTTGTAGGGACCAAACTTATTCTTATAACTGCAGTTATGTAACAGATCAAGGTGTGTTCCATCTCCCTCATCTAACTTACTCTGTTTGCCGTAAATGGTTTGAATCTAACTNAAAACTGAAACTTGAATTGTAATACCTCTGTTCTCCAGGCGGGCCCCTGATTGTTGAAACTTGAAAAGTATTCCCTTGTTCTCCAGGTGGGCTCCTGATTGTTGAAGCTTGAAAAGTATTCCCTTGTTCTCCAGGTGGGCTCCTGACTGCAACAAAAATAGACAAAAACAAAGAAAACTTCTGCCCCAGTTTGGTAGCTGGGCACATGGGTGAGTGTTAAACTAAATTATTCTACCAACTATTATAAGAATTCAAAAGCTAAGTCCTATTATCCAGGTAGGTCCTGACAACTTCTAATAATTATGAACCTAAGTTATATCCTCTGAAGGTATTACTCCCACCACATTTGTTGTCTAAAAGGTCTTAAACTACTCCCCATTATCCAGGTGGGTCCTGACAACTTCTAGTGAAAAGATAGTTTTAACCTAAATTATATCTACTGAAGGTACGACTCCCACTATATCTTGTTATCTGAAGCGAACTTTAAAGCTACATCCCATTATCCAGGAGGGTCCTGACCACTCCTAATTAAATCCTATCTTAGACAACCCATGTTCTTTAGGATACATTTGTGCTAAATTATGCTACTCATGATTGTTTTGAAGTTTAAACTAAGTCCCATTTTCCAGGAGGGTCCTGAGAATTTCCGGCATACCTTTTTTGGGTGCTTGCTTTTTCCTTAAGGAGGGTTTCTCCCAAAACCAATGAAAACTTTCTGCCCCTGTTTTAATCAAAGAAAAATCTTGTCAGTTTTAAAAATGTGGTTAGTTGCCGGCATTCTTGCTAGGTACATCCCTGCTGCTGGGCTTTACTCCGTCTCGCTTTCCTGGACTTGCCTTGAATCCCCTCGACTTCCTGACCGAATTTCAACCTCTTGACTAAGTGTTCTACCCCATATTGTTGTTTTTGTGTTTCTGACCCCTCTTTTGGTACTTCACTTCTTCCCCACAATTATCCAATTAATCCAACAATGAAACTTCCAGTGGTCCTTTATGACTTACTTTGCTTTTCGACATCTTTGATATATTCTGGCCCTGTCTATACAACTAGGAAGCTGGTAGTTAGCCTTGACATTCCTTCCTTTGTTTCGAACAGAACTGACACTGAAACATCCTAGAGATAGATCTCAAAAGAATGAAATGCAATGACCTCAAGGGTTAAGGATAAAGAGAATCCGAGAACGGATGATTTGTGATGAAGAAAGAAGAGAATGAGACTTATCTGAGTGGAACGACTGATACCATTGAGCGTGCCATGCATTTTGGATTAATCAGCCTAGCCTGTCTAACCAATCAACTTTCGATTGCCACATTTGTTGTTCCTGACTTTCACAACCTGATTTCCACTCAAACCCAAACCTTGCTCGTCTTGCAATGTCCTGAGCAGCTTTTGGCCGCAGACTTGTTTCCTTGGCCTGTCTGAAAAACTCGCCTTCGCCTTACGGTGCCCGTGAGGGTTTTCACCAATCAAACTCTCTCATTTTGATTTCTCTCAACTCCCTTCGCCTTATGTTGCCCGTGAAGGTTTTCATCGATAAGACTCTCTCATTTTTTATTTTCTCTCAACTCGCTTCGCCTTACGATGCCCGTGAGGGTTTTCACCAATAAGACTCTCTCATTTTATCATTTTTTCCTTGTACCGGAGTGTTGCCCCTGACGTGAATCACTTTTACTCGCTTGTATTGGCACTTCCTGAAGATTGATCGAAAGGTCTTTCTTTGGACTGTAATGCAGGCTTTGGACAGGGTTAGGAAGAAAGGGTATCAAAGGCTCAAAACAATTCAACATGGGTTCAAAATTACAACTTTCGGAATCAGATTTCCAACAACAACTACAACTTCTGCCCCAGTTTCTTTCTTGGGGACTTTTGGGATTTTGTTTTGATGTGACTGAACCCCAGAGAGAGGCTGCCTACGTACCCTTTCGGGATTAAGTCAAACATAGTTCAGGTCATAGGAATTACTTTGCTGTTGCCATATTTTCATTTCTTTTCTTTCTTTTCTTTTCCTTTTTTTTTTCATTTCTTTTTTTTTTCTTCATTTTTCTTCTCTTTTTCTTTTTTTTTCTTTTCTTCTTTTTTTTTTCTTCTCTTTTTTTTCATTGGACTGTGTTTTCTTATTTCTTCACCGATTTGCCTTGCTCGAGCTTCCGAGTTGTTATTGATTCCGAAAGAGGGGTACGAAAGAAAGTAAATGAGGCTCAAGAGGGGTAACAAAGGATAAAGTGTTTGGATAGCAGAACAAAATGCCTTCGTCATTTCAATCTCAAAAATATGCCAAATACAATAAAGTACAATTAAACCAAGAAATCATACATAGTATCGCTTGACTGCGTCAGAGTTGATAGCCATTTCTACACATTTTCCTTCCACATCTGTCAAATATAAAGCGCCATTGGACAACACTCTGGTTACAACAAATGGCCCATGCCAGTTTGGGGCGAACTTTCCTTTTGCCTCAGCCCAATGAGGTAGGATGCGCCTCAACACCAACTGTCCTACTTCAAACTTCCGCGGACGCACTTTCTTGTTATATGCTCTTGCCATTCTCTGTTGGTACAACTGACCGTGACACACTGCTGCCAATCTCTTCTCATCAATCAAACTTAGTTGTTCCAAGCGGGCTTTAACCCATTCAACATCATCAATTTCCGCCTCGACGATGATGCAAGGGTTTGATGTGGTTTACGACAGAAGCGCAGACTGTATAGCTTGTGAGAAGACAGGGGGATTATGTGGGTCAGTGACAAATCTTACAGAGCCAACGTGCCTTTGTAGGGACCAAACTTATTCTTATAACTGCAGTTATGTAACAGATCAAGGTGTGTTCCATCTCCCTCATCTAACTTTACTCTGTTTGCCGAAATTGGTTGAATCTAACTGGTAGCCCAGAATCTTCAACTGTTAAATAAGCACCAGAAAGGGGGAAAAACCCATAGGCTGGCATATGGCCTAGTATTTTTGGCCCCGACATACATATCTAAAGTAACTTTTGGAGAATCTGGTCCATTCTAAGTACTACCAAATTTGTTCCCGTCTTTGGTGTGAAACTTCCATTTCTTTTCTCGCCTTTCTAATTTATTCCATCTCTTATGATCATTCTAGAAATTCAAACCGATAAGATCTCTGTATAATTGATAGCTACACCAAATATTTATAATTTTGGGTGGTACTTGACAAGTATAATCCATCATTTTGCGACCAATGAGTCATCTAACTTTTGAAAGGTATCCAGAAGAAGTTCGTATTGATGAATTTCTATAAGCAACCTAATAAAAAAAGTACATTATCCAGAAAAGTCATGCTCAAATAGTAAAATACACTCCTAGTTAGAGATTGCTCATGTACAAGCGCATTGCATTGATGCCCATTCTGAGATTTGGGTATTAGACAGCAGCTTAATTTATGTGGCACAAGTTTTGTTTCAGCTTATCCTGGGAAGATGGATATATCAAAATATGTGAACAATGGAGATGACAATACATCTTTAAAAAGTACAGTTCATAAGTTCAGCAAGGTTGTCCAATGCCTCAGAAGTAATTTCAGCCTCGGGAGTGCTTCATTTGGCCTAGACCCTAAGACGACACCTCTTCTTCTCCTATGGCTGTACAGTGTACACAACCTTATAAAACGGAGACAACATTATGTTATATATTGTGCCAGTGATGTCAGGACCTTGTTTATGCAAAACTGAGTTACTCACAAGTGTTGCGAAAGGGTGTTTTTTCCTACACTAGGATGAGGCTGAATGTCGTGATTGCCTGAATAGCAGAGGGCACTGTGGTGCTCGGATGATGAATCCATCCCCAAAGCAAAACGTGTCATCATCGTAAATCGAGAAACTAACATTCCATATCCACATTTGAGTATTTGACCATATCTCGATTGTTGGAGTGAGAAAAACTTCTTTCTTCATATATAGGAAAACAGTTGATTTATTATACCACTGAAGATCCTTTATTATGCTTCTGTATCACTTCATCACTTGTTTATCTTTGCATTACAGGCAATAAAAGAGATATCAGAGTGAAGGTTGCCATAGGTAACTGTCCTTAATTTGACCTTGTTCATCTTATTATTATCTTTCTCTTCTCAACAATGACCAAGAACTTATAGATAATCAGTGTATTTGAACACCCTTTTTTCGTCTGGTTAATTACAGGTATATCTGCTGCTGGGATAACAACGACATTGGCCTGCTTTATTTTTTACTGCTTCGCGAAGAAATCATCTGGTACATGCTTTTTGTTATCAAAGAAGAGGAGAGAACACCAGAATATTGAGTCTTTCCTCCGGCAGTATGGATCCCTAGCCCCTAAAGCATATAGCTATTCAGACATTAAGAAAATGACAAATTCACTTCAAGAGAAACTCGGACAAGAGGGTTATAAAGGTTACGTCCCGTTGCTATCAAGATTTTAAATGAGACTAAAGGGAATGGGGAAGAATTTATCAATGAAGTTGCAAGCATCAGTCAAACTTCCCATGTCAATGTAGTTACTCTGTTGGGATTTTGTTTTAATGGCCGAGAAAGAGCTCTTGTTTATGAATTCATGCCCAATGGTTCCCTTGATAAACACATCTATGGTGAAGGTTCTAAGTTGGGATGGGAAAAGTTGTACGAAATCGCGCTTGGGATAGGCCGAGGACTGGAGTATTGCACCGAGGATGCATTGCACGAATATTGCATTTTGACATAAAACCTCACAATATCCTTCTGGATGAGGACTTCTGCCCCAAGATATCTGATTTTGGCCTAGCAAAATTATGCCTTCAGAAAGAAAGCATCATATCAAAGTTGGAAGCTAGAGGAACCATCGGTTACATTGCTCCAGAAGTATTCAGTAGAAATTTCGGAAGTGTCTCGCACAAATCTGATGTTTACAGCTACGGAATGATGGTTCTTGAAATGGTTGGAGGAAGAAGGAATTACAGCGCTGAAAGAAGCAATCATAGCGAAATATACTTCCCACGCTGGGCTTATCAACGCCTTGTGACAGATGAAGACATAAATATACAAGGCAGCATGACCAAAGAAGAAAAGGAAATTGCAAAGAAGATGATATTAGTAGGTTTGTGGTGCATCCAAACTGATCCCTCGCAGAGACCATCAATGAGTAAGGCGATTGAAATGCTGGAAGGTAGCTTAGAGGCCATCCAATTTCCACCAAAGCCTTTCATATGTTCTCCCTCATGATCGGAAGGATCGGCGATAATAGCTTTGGGGCAACCAACGAAGCCCTTTATATATTCTTCTACGGGTTCAGCACTTGATTCTACAGCCTCAGCAAGTGAAGAATGACACTTGAATAACAAATGTTTGGACAAGACTTACTAAGATTCATTGGAGAACAAAACAGAGAGAGATGGAATGTTGAAATAGCCATACACAACCAACTTTGAAATGTTAAAAACTGATATCTATCTTGCGCAAGCACCTGTATATTTCTCAACCTCTTAAGTTTGTACTTCTTGATATAAAGGTAAGCTGGTATTTTTAGGATAGTTTCAGTCACTAGTATAATTTCTCAACATTCATAGATGTTGCATATGGCATCATCCTTACAAAATATGTTTTGTGATTGTTACGAAATTCTGCTTTCGCCAAACAACAACAACAACCCATTATAATCCCACAAGTGAGGTATGGGGAGGATAGAGTGTACGCAAACATTACCCATGCCTTTAAGAAGACAGAGAGGCTGTTTCCGGAAGATCCTCAGCTCAGGAAGGGAACAATTTTACAATACGTTTTGTGAAAATAGAATTTCGTACCACAAGAATTGTATATTTCAAACGATGATCTCAATTTTTCACAATCTACGACATACAAACATTTTCGACTATTTCAGCAACATGCCGTCAAGTTTTGCAATACTATAACATTTGGAGACGATAAGTTTAAACAAATAGAAGTATATCGTGTCTACCTCGATAAATCTTTTCTAATGGAAAAATTAAAGCAAGTTCTTCTCTGAGCACTTCTTTAAATTCATAAAACCTTAGGGGTCGTTTGAATAGTGCGGAATAAAGTGTATTAGTAATGCATGTGTTAGTAATGCAAGCATTAGTTATGCAGATATTATTTCTCATCTACTGTTTGGATTGGTGTATTAAAATTATTATACAATTTTTAAGAAAAATAGTTGCTTACAAAAATGTCACCCATATTCTCTAGGTTTAAGGGACTTTAAGAACAATTCTGTCTTTAATCATACTAATGCATGCATTAATAGCCTTGGTATTACTAATGCCATGGTTTTTTATGCATTACTTATACATAGGATAATACCAAGTATGGTTATACATAGGTTGAAAAAATGTACCAAACAAGGTATTAGTAATGATAGAGCTAATGCTTACATTATTTTTTCTAATATCTCCTACCAAACGACCTCTTCTTGTTCTTAACACATTTTTTCCCCCTTCATATAACGTTAAGAACATTAGGAATATAGCGCTTAATGACAATTATACCTACCACTTAAAATTTGTAAACTAAATGAAAAACGTTTTTAGTGACACTTATGTTTTTCTTGTTCTCTTGTTTCCATTATAAAACACATTTGATATTTTAAATTACTTTAACAATTCCGTTTAAGTGCAGAACTGAGTTCTCAAGCAAGCCCATATAAAAACAAAAGAAGTATAGGATTTTATATTTATGAAAAAAAAGCGGTGCATATGTGCGTGCGTCACGTCGTGTATATAAAGTATGAAAACGAGTACTGAGTTAGTTGTGATCAGCAGCATTAATATTGTTTAGACACTAACCAAAAAACTAAAAACGGAAATGAACGAAGATTTTTAAATTGAAAAGACCATACAAAGAAAATTTGACAAACAAAAAGGAAAATGCTGAATTAGATTGAGAGAATCTCACGTCCTAACATTTCAGGTGGCCATGTGATTATAGCTAGAGCCGTCAATATGGGCTTGGTCCGTTGGGCCAGCGCGTAATTTAGCAGGGCTGGGTTAGGATATTTGGAGCCCATTTAAAATCGGTTAAGAACTATTTATGCAAGCCCATTTACCAAAATTAAATCTTTTATTATTCAATGTTGTTTTGAATCTTATATGGCAATCTTAAATTCAATTTTATTATGAATCTTTAATTATTTCAATTCCGTTTAGGCTCCTTCATTACAGTGAATATTATCAGTTGAAAAATGAAGTTGAGATAGATTTTGACTCTTATATGATTAAACTTTGATTTATCTTGAATACAGTATCTTGCAGGTACGTATCTTTTTTAAATTGGTATTTGATTAGCCATCTATATCTATAAAAATTTATCCAATACGTTAAGTACATATAATTTTATTTTTTATATTAAATAATAACATTACGTGATTGTGAGGAGGAATCACAATTAAAGAAATTATTTTCATCAATAAAATTAAACAAATCAAGCGGCAATGTGATTTTATTTGTTCAAATCAATTAAACTTAAATAGACTCATAGATATAATAAAGATAAATAGAAAACTTGATTTTCTCTATATGTCAAATCGTTTTTTCAGTCGATGTAATTTCAGTTCATTCATTTATTCGAAATTCTTAATGCACTGAAATAAAAAAGAAATTATCTTTTGATAGTGAACGATTATAAAATATGTAAAAAAATCCCTATTTGAGTTTAAAAGTCGAGCAATCTTTAATTAGTCCTATCTTATAATCATTTTGAAATATATCACACATTTTAATTTAAAAGTATATGAATTGAGATTAGATGAATTGAATTTGAAGTTTCGTCGAAATAAAAATATGTGAACTCAAAAAGATCTTACGAATTGAGAGATGAGAATATTGAATTAATTTAAAATATAAAATAAATTCTTTTCACTTTTACTATTTCATCCCATGTATGTTATAATAATCCTTTGAATTATATTTTTTCCCATTTATTATTTAATAATGATGATGCTTTATATATTTAATCCAGTTTAACAAAAATTGCATGATTTATCCGAAGGAAAGAAGCTGGATGAAATTGGTAATTCAATAGCTTCAAATCCTGACTTTACATAAGTTGATCTTAACGCAGTGGTGATTATTTGAGCTTTGCCGATATTCTCTAGGCGTGGTAAAGCAAAGAGAGGATAAATATTCTTGCTTGGGAAACGAAACCAACGTCTTTTTGTTTGAGCTTTCTTTTCTAATTTTTTGCTTTTTTTCTTCTTATTTGTATTTCTTATTTTGCCTCATGGAAAACTTATAAAAAGAGTGGCTTTATTATTTTGCAAGAAATAAAAAGATTAGAGTTCAAATTATATATATATATATATATATATATATATATATATATATATATATATATATATATATATATATATATATATATATATATATATAAAATAAGAGGATAATTTTTAATATGGTGAACCCGAGTGGAAAGATAATAAGAAGCTACTTGACAATTTAAAAAAAAAAAAAATTACTCCCTCCGGTCCACTT